CCTGCCCGCGGAGGCTCGGGGCTCCGGCTGGGTTCCGCGAGGAGTTGCAGCGGTGGCCGGATGCCAAGTGTAAGTGTAAGTTGCTATGGAAACCCTGACAGAGGCAAGTTCCGAATCCGCAGCGAGACGGAGCCTTGGGCGCCGCCGGATCCGCCCCTTGCATCCCGGCCCCCAGGCGGCCGCCTCGCTCAGGCCCCGGCCATGGTGGAGCGGCTGCCTCGAGGTGCTGCTCCCGCGGCCCCAGCACCCAGCTCCGGAAATGCCAGGCATGCAGCGGGGGCCGAATTTGTTTTCCCTTTGTATCGCGCCGAAACGCCAGCTTCTAGCTGCTGGGAGCGCGGAACGCAGCCGCGAGCACCCCTGGGCAGCCAGGGCACGCGCGGGGATGTTCGATTGCAGAGCCTGGAAAAAGTTTGACAATGAATTTGGAGACGTGGATTGGGCCCTAGTGGTTGGTAAATTGGTGCGCGGACCGTGCGGTGCCTGCAGCAGCTTTGGAGCTGCTGGGTTGGAGGACAAATGGAAGAAAGAGACCCGAAGGCTCGCGGCTCCCAGCCCCCATCCCAGCTGGAATGACCTGAGAGAGCAGCGAAGGAACTTTCTAGTTGGATCCTTTTTCACCGTTTCAGTAGAATTGATTTGAATCTGATTAGTAAACTCCTTCCGTGGAAAACATCGCAACAGACCAGTTGTCCGGTGTTCAAGGAGTTGTGTGCAGCCCAGCAGCACTTAACGCATGTAGGATCACTAGGAGTTGGAGACAATTCCTCTCTTTTCTGAAGTTTAAACGGCCTTTCTGTGTCTTGCAGGATCTTTTATTAAGCAAAAATGCATCGAACAACGAGAATCAAAATCACGGAGCTAAACCCTCACCTGATGTGCGTGCTTTGTGGAGGGTACTTCATTGATGCCACAACCATCATAGAGTGCCTACACTCCTGTAAGTACAGACCCGAGACCTCTCTGCCTTGGGTGCTGCCCATTTCAGCCGCAACTTGAAAACTCATTCTCACAGGCCTTGGGTCTCTGGGGGGAAAATAAGGAAGCCATTTTCTTCTCTTGTATTTAGGAGGAACTTTTTGCTAATATTTTATTTACAAATGTATAATGTGTAAGTGTTCTCAGGACGGACATTGTTGGTTTACTTCATTGGAAATAGATATTGCTATTGCTAGCTTTTGGTTTCTGACACTAGTTTGAATGCTTTAGCCTTCAATTCTTACCTTACAAAAACTTTTGTGTTCCTGCCTCTAGTCTGTAAAACATGTATTGTGCGTTATCTGGAGACCAGCAAGTATTGCCCTATCTGTGATGTCCAAGTTCACAAAACCAGGCCACTCTTGAATATAAGGTAGGAAGATGTGCAAAATCCTTGTTTGTAATAATCCTTGTTGCATTCAGTTTAGTGAAGGCTACCTGTATATTTCTTCTTAAATAGAAAATTCACCTTTCCATGTTAAATCCTTCCATTTTAATGGTGACAAACTTTAAACAGTTCTGTATTGTGGGTTTTTTTTGTCCTCTAAAAATTGAATTCATGACACTTGAGGAAATGTTGGAAAAATGCTGCTGTTATCTTTTTATTCATTCTAGCTAATTTAATGACTTGAAAGGTACACTTTTGACTTAGTGACTGCAGTGTTGGTGAATATATATTACAATAATTTTCTAAAAGAATTTTACACCAATTAAAAGTGTATCACAATCATGGAAAATATGAAGCACAAATGAAACAATCTATTAGAAAACTGCCTATAATCTTTGATATTTTTAATAACTTACTTTTTTTAATTTATTCTTTTCCAGGTCAGATAAAACTCTTCAAGATATTGTGTACAAATTAGTTCCAGGGCTTTTCAAAAGTGAGTAACTTGCCTAAAGAATGAATTGTAAAAAGATTATACAGTGATTTTACATGATATACCAAAGGTGCTTAAATGCTCTCTCTTTTCAGATGAAATGAAGAGAAGAAGGGATTTTTATGCAGCTCATCCTTCAGCTGATGGTAAATTTTTTGTCACGGGAAAATGTTTTATTTAGATGGAAATAAATCCAGTGATTAAATTTTATTAAAATTGCATTTAATCTAAAGTGCCAATTCCTGTGTGTGTGTGTGTGTGTGTGTGTGTGTGTGTGTGATCAAATTGAATTTCAAAATGTCTCTCTAGCTGCCAATGGCTCTAATGAAGATAGAGGAGAAGTTGCAGATGAAGATAAGAGAATTATAACTGATGATGAGATAATAAGCTTATCCATTGAATTCTTTGACCAGAACAGGTAAATTCTCCAAGAAATATATTTTATGCTAAATATATGTACCAGATACATTGTGTTACTAATAAATTGTTTGTTTCTTAGATTGGATCGTAAAGTAAACAAAGACAAAGAGAAATCGAAAGAGGAGGTATGTTAACATAAATATATAAAAGAAAGTTTTTTTGGTTCAAAAGGATTTATGTTGCCCTTCATGATATCTAATTCAAATAGGAAAGTATTGTGCTTAATGTTTGAGTGATCTACATACTTTAGTTAATTATTAGAATCTGTTTCATATGATTGCTGTTTTCATAAAATATTTCATAGTTCAAGTTTAACACTTTGACATATGTTAAATTTTATAATTGTATTGGGAATCTCCCTTTGAGTACAAAATAGAAATAGTAAACTCAAAGAATGTCTAGTTGGGAGTTTAGTCACACCCAGTTTGTGTATTGATTTCTTTTACCATTGCTTGAGGCAATCTAGTTGAACAGATTTTTCTTACTGGAAAATTAGGAACTGAAACATTTTAATTTTTCTTAAATGAACTCTTAGGTAAATGATAAAAGATATTTACGATGCCCAGCAGCAATGACCGTGATGCACTTAAGAAAGTTTCTCAGAAGTAAGATGGATATACCTAATACCTTCCAGGTATCTACTTTGTGTAGTCTTTATGCATTTTATGTTGATTTTTGAAAAGCTTAGCTTTTTTTTTCACATGTTGAATTTGGAACTGGGGTGGGGGCCTTAAGGGGAGAAAAAAAGGACAATGGAAAAAAAAATTTAATTTAGCACCAAAATTGGTAATAACTCTTAAAACATCTGGTATAGATCCTGTTTCATGCTATCAAAACAAATCTGATTTTTTTTCCTCAAAGTTGCCAGAGGAATTTTTGTTCTTTGTCCAATTGCTTGGACAAACTGTTTTTGAAGAATTTTTGGATTATTCTTAGATGATGAAAATGTAGTTTGTCTTTGTTATTCTTTATGACACTTTGCAATTGAAATGTTTCAATAGATTGATGTCATGTATGAAGAGGAGCCCTTAAAGGATTACTATACACTGATGGATATTGCCTACATTTATACTTGGAGAAGGGTAAGTAGCATTATCTAATAATTTCAGGTTATGATGGCAAGATAAATTTCAAGAGTTAACACTGATTTGCTATGGGAAAAAAATTATAAATTATCAAGGTTTCATGGGGGAAGAAAGGTGGGGGGAGAGGGGAAAAATGAGAAGCTTGATACCTAGAACTCAAGTAGAAAGAAAATGTTTTGAAAATGATGATGGCCACATATGTGCGAATGTGCTTGACACCATGGATGGGTGGATTGATTGTGATAAGAGCTATAAGAGCCCCCAATAAAATGATTGAAAAGAAAAAATGACTGATTTGCCTTTCTTTTTTTTATAGAACGGACCACTTCCTTTGAAATACAGAGTTCGACCGACTTGTAAAAGAATGAAGATCAGTCACCAGAGAGATGGACTGACCAATCCTGGAGAACTGGAAAGTGACTCTGGGAGCGACAAGGCCCACAGCCCCGCAGGAGGGGCTCCCTCCACCTCATCTTGTTTGCCTAGCCCCAGCACTCCAGTCCAGTCTCCTCATCCACAGTTTCCTCACATCTCCAGTACTATGAATGGAACCAGCAACAGCCCCAGCGGTAACCACCCATCTTCCTTTGCCAATAGACCTCGAAAATCATCCGTGAATGGGTCTTCAGCAACTTCATCTGGTTGATACCTGGGAACTGTTAAGGGAAAAAAATTTTACAGCCCCGATTTATATAGATATCTTCATGCCATTACAGCTTTATAGATGCTAATACATGTGATTATCGTCCAATTTGCTTTCTTTTGTAGTGACATTAAATTTGGCTATAAAAGATGGACTAGATGTGATACTCATGGACGCTAATTGATATGAAAGATTGTTTCTATGAAGAATTGGTTTTGGGGAAGACAGGATTTTTTTTCTGTGTGTTAGGAAAGATGTGAAATGGATTCTGTAACCATCGTTTGGATTTGGAAATATTCTGCAGATATAAGCATTGGGCCATAGTTTGTTAATCTCAACTAATGCCTACATTACATTCTCCTTAATTGTTCTTGTTATTATGCTGTTTTGTGAACCTGTAGAAACCAAGTGCTTTTTATCTTGAAATTCAACAAAACAGAAAGAATACACATAGAATAATGCATTCTATGTAGCCATGTCACTGTGAATAACAATTTCTTGCATATTTAGCCATTTTGATTTCTATGTTTCATTTTTCCTTCTTTGTTGCTGCGTGCAAAACCGATCAAAGGAAAAGTAAACTTCAGTTTTACAATCTGTATACCTGAAAGCGGGTATTACCGTTTATTTTACTGACTTGTTTAAATGATTCGCTTTTGTAAGAATCAGATGGCATTCTGCTTACTGTACAATGCCATATTGGTATATGACATAACAGGAAACAGTATTGTATGATATATTTATAAATACTATAAAGAAAGTAATTGTGTTTCATGCACTCAGAAATGGTTATTAAAATTCTCCCAACTGGTTGTTCGACCTTTGCAGATACCCCATGTTTCAGCATTTTTTATCAGCATAGACTATTTTTAATGTGGAACTATACCCCTAAATTCTGTTCCATTGGGAGCCATTGACAACACATTATAATACTGAATTTCCTCCAGTAGTACATGTTTACTTGTAAATTTAATCCTTGCCACAAAGGCAATGCCTGATTACAGGATCTGAAAGATTATTCACTTTCCATTGATTGTGATATGTTTGATGGGTTTTTAAATGTACATTTACCACTATGATTCTAAAATAACTTTTTAAGGAAACCAAGTTGCTGGAAGAAGGCATTTTATCTAAAATATTTTAATAAATGGTATAGCAGTAATTTCAAATTTAAGAATTGACAGTTGAGAACATCGAAATATGCTTTCTAATATCTACAAGTGAACACTATGCGCTTCTACAAGTTGGTTGTTCTTTTTTTTTTTAATAGAGTGAGCATGTTGAGTTTTAAATACGTATAACCCCAACAATTTTCAGTTTGTTGTTTGCCCTGGTCGAACTTCATGTGTTTTCATCACCCATCAGTTATTTGTAAGGGTGTTTATTCTCAATGAATATTGTTTCATGTTTGTACGGGAAAATTGTAGCTAAACGTTTCATTGTTCCCTCAGTCTGTAAAAGAAGCACAATTCTATTGCTTTGTCTTGCTTATAGTCATTAAATCATTACTTTTGCATATATTCCTGCTTTTCTGCTTTCATTAAAGTTACAGTAAAAGAAGTTTCATTAAGCCACAAAATTACATATATTTTTATTTTGCCTGAAATGTGTACATTCCCCTAATGTAAGTGCTATTTCTGCTTATAGAAGTTAAATTTCATTTGTAGTTGGAAAATAATACAATTAAAAGGATATTCATTTAGAAATTAGCCAAGACCTTCAATAAAAATTTGATATGAAAAGCACGATGTTCAGAAGTTTGGGAAATCCTAGTGGATTACAAGAGGTAAAAGTTAAATTAGTGATTTTTCTGGGAATTACGTGCTTTGTTGTACAAATGCTTGAAAGACCAAAGATTTATTTTGTGTCTAGTTTGTAATCTTTGATGTGACAAGTTAGCCGTATTTATCAATTTTAGTGAAATTAACTTAGTTTTCTAAACTTGTAAAAAACGTTCCTGTTACTCTAAGACAAATTAAAGTTAAGGACGTTTCAATAGAACATATGTATATAAATGAAAATATTTCTCAGGCCAGTATGAGGTCATTTAACTTGCACAAAACCAAATGATGTCAAGATCAACACAACTCAATTTACATTTGAATTTACATTTCAACCTCTTCAATGGGCTTTTTGAAATTATGTGAAATGTTACATTATGGCTTAATATATAAATGTATTAGAAATATATCCATTTTAAAAGGATATTTATATCCTCACTTTAAAGTTTAAAAAATTGCTTAATAGGATATTTCAGCTAAAATTTCTAAAATCCCAATGTCTGAATCAAGTGGGAAAGATGTTTCTAATTGCCCCATCACAGTTCTGACAGATTTAAAACTTTAAACTAGCACTCAAAACAAGTTTCAACGCTGCTGACTTTGTAACCGTCAAATCAGAGTACATAAAAAGTCAGCTCTAGGAACTTCTAGACTTCTGGGATTCTCTCCCACAAAGTTAGTGCTAGCAAAATAATGTACAGAAGCTGCCGAAATTGATTTCACAGATTTTAGCTTGACTGCAAACAGAAAGGAGGCTGGTTGCTGTTGTGTAAATAGTGATCTATCTTGTTTTACACATGCATACCACTTTACAAGTACTTTCTGTTTTTAAAATTGCCGGCCGTTAATTGGAGGGGGCTGAAAAAGTTGCCCTTTTATTGACTTAATTTACCAGCCATATTGTTTAGTCACCTTAACTGTGTGTGTGTGTGTGTGTGTGTGTGTGTGTGCAAACGCTAGGCTCTCTGGAGGTAAAATGCAGCAGCATAAGCTTAGTAGGAGCTTTCTCCATCCTTTACTCTTATTCCTGTATTTGGAGGTGCACTCATCATATAGGCCAAGTTTTGTTATGAGAACTTAATTACCCGTGTGAAATGCGTCTTTCATTAACAAGAAATGAAGACAACCTTTTAAAAGGGGTTTGGTAATCTGGAAGAAATAGGATCTTAATTCTACTAACAATCTGCACATGGACCCCAGTCTCTTAGAATCTTGACTTGGGAAGAGTGTTGCTTCAGAAGATAAATCCTTTTTTACATTTGTAAGGTCCAGTAAATGACTCAGTCCACCCCCTGGATCTGGAACTACATTCTGACCCAACGTGGTACAGCTGACATAGAGATTCCAGCTATGTTTATATTCTTAGTATTTCTCATCCCTCCCCCCTCCAAACCCACCCCCCCAAAGTTCTTGAACAAATGACGCTACAAATCATTAGGCTTTGAGATCTGCGTCTAACAGTATACTACTTAAATCTCCTTTCAAAAACCGCATGTGTCTTTAAGATGGAAGGTGGGAAGAGCTAAGGACTGCTCCAACCGGACTTTTCTGGGGGATGTGGGTGGCAGGAGTTGGCCTGGAATCGGTGATTTCACTTGAGAATGTTTCTTCTTGTATCAGTGGATACTACAATAGGTAATTTTTTCTAAGGTCACTCTCCCCGAAAACTTTAGACTTTTCCAAAGTAGCGAGTAAAATCCTGAAAGAAAGTAGAACCAGAGAATTCAGCTAGATGGGTATTAGGAGAATGTCGACTTCCCAGTAAAAGACCTAGGAAGCACCCCTCGGAAGGCTTTGAACTGTTGTTCTCCTCGCAAATTTCAAGATCAGCCCAGGGTTGGTTATGAAAGTCTCTGAAAATGTTTACACAGTAGAGTGTTTCCTGTTTCCGCAGTTCATTTTTTTAAACGTTCTTTTTTTTCTTCTTTTGGTTCTTGAAACGGATTTCCTTTATTTGCACCAGTTTCTTTTTCTGAGTGTGCATTTTCTAGAGTCGTCGCATGAAGAACTTCTCTATCAACTTGTCTTCATGAAGTCGACGACATCAAAAGTCATTTATCAATAGAAGGGCTACTTTAGGACCCTTGGGAGTAGGCTGAAGAAGTTCAAGTGCATTTGGGGAAAACTTAACCTCGAGTCTCATTTAACCCTCCAAATAAATAGCGCTCAATAAAACTTTGAGTAAATGAGTTAAATGACTCATTCTTCTACCTGTTCTTCAAAACAAAACACCTCCCAGTGACTTTCAGAAACAACCTCCCCAAAATAGCAGCCATTGTTCCCTGGAGTTGTCTAAACGCTAGTAAACAACAGGACTTGAGGGGTTGATTGTTAGGTCGCCATATAATCCAAACTTCACTATGGTCAAGTTCAGTCTTGAATTGGCACTCTCCACGTGGAGATTCCCAACTCCCTGTGAGAGCGCTGCAGCTCCGCTGGGATGTGGAATCCAGACTGAGACCTTGGGAGACTCCGAACTCCAGGGAACAAGGGAAACTGTCGAAAAGTGATATGCTAAGAACGAGAGTCCTGCAGAGCTGGGGAGGGAAATCACTGGGGATAGGGAAGTCTGCCCAGCAGTTACATCTTTACGTCTAAATGCCCTCAAGAGTAGAAGACATCCAGAGAAAACCAGAGGGGCACACTATACTACTCGGCGTGGAAGAAAAAAAAAAATCAGAGGTAATGGAAGAAAGAAGCATGGATTCCCAAAAAGTTTTCTACTGTTTTAAAGCCCGGTCTGGGGGCACAGAAGCCCACAAGGAGAAAACCACCTTCGTGGCCAGGGCGTTACCAAAAGGGCACGTTAAGACGGGGTCCTAGTGGGGGACCGGCGGGGAGTGCCCATCGCCCTTTCCTTATTTCTAAGCCGCAGCTTGTCCAGCTCGGCTGAGCCTTGCGCCGCGGGGACTCAACCTTGCGGGTCGCGGGAGTCCGAGTCGCCCGGCACCCAGAGGCCATTTTGCGCGTGCGCCGCGCGCCTGGCGCGGCCCCAGGCGCCTAGGATTCGGATCCCGCCAAATTTGAAAGCGAGACGGCCAGGCCGTTCTCCGGTGGCAGAGGCGCATAGACGACGCCGGTTCCCCAAAGTCGGAAGACGAGGCGAGCAGTGACCCCGGCCGGGGTGCGTGCGGCCTCACCCAGTGATCCTCTTGGTGGCAGATCTGCCCGCTGAGCCGGGCGGTGGGGCCCGGGGCTCCGCGCCCCCTGCAAGCGCTCCCGCGCCCGGGGAGGCGGCTGCCATCGCCTGCCAAGTGCGCCCAAGCGCCTCCCGCCAGATACCCGCCTTTGCCCTCCCTCGTCCCTCTTCCAGCCGCAAATCCAATGCCTTTTCCCCATCCTTCAATTGCGAGATATCCCCGGTGTTCGGGTTTCTGCAGGCCAGATTTTAGACTTGATTATTTACAAAACATAAAAGTGCCAATCTTGAAGGTTACGGCGACCGAAAAAATTACAAGGTAAAAGGTCGGATGGGCTGCAAGGTTCTGGGAAGGAAAGCGGACGACGATGACTGCATGGAGGAGGTGGTGGCTGCAGGGTTCGGACAAAGGACCGGCCGCACCTGGAAACACAGAGCCGACGTCTAACCGCGTGCCAGACGCCATTCGCCCCGGGCTGCCGCGATGCTCGCTCGCTCGGAGGCCGGAGGGACGCGGCCGGCTCTCTGCAGAGCCCGTGGCGGCCTGACCCCCGCAACAGACACACTTCTCGGGCGGCTTTGGGGGGAGGGGAGGCGACGGCGAGCGGGGGTGCGATGTGCCCCCCAAACCCTGGGGAGCAAGACTGCGCGGGAGGTGCCCGGGCGCAGGTTAGCCACCGAGCAGCGAAAGGACCTAAAATGGGCGACGCCGGCAGAGCCCTCTTTATCAGTGCAGCAGGCTGCCGGAGCCGCCATTTGGTGGCGGATTTCGGTATTTCAGTAGCACGTTGGGCTGCGCCGCACAACTGGTGTGTGTGCGTGGCTAGAAAAATGCAAATTGCCGCGAGCCCGCCTCCTCCCAGGGGCATCGAAGCCGCCTCTCCCACGCTGGTGGACGGGTCCGGGGACTCGACTTGCCCGGGGGCGTCGCGGTCCGCGCGGCGTGCGCGAACCTGCCTCGGGCCTGCGGCGGCCTTGACCGCTGCGCCGGGCCGGTGTGTCCCCGGCGGAAACCAAGCGCCGACCGACGGGGCCGTGGCTCCAGTCCTTTTCCCGAAGAGCATCGAGCCCGCAGTCGTCCCCCGCCCCCGCCCGCCCTGGGGAGGTCATTTCCCTGGGGTCGCGACAGACACGTCTTTGGGCTTCCCGCGCCCCTTTTCTGGCGTCCCGCTTCACACCTCTCGGATGGAGGCAGGGGAACGGGGCTCGAGGCCGAGGCCTAGGGCGAAGGAGGCGGCCAGGCCCGGAGCCCGGAGCTAGGACCCCGCGCTCGCCCTTCGCGCCCTGACTCGAGTCCTCCGGGGACCGGGAGAGCCGGTTCCTTCCGTGGAGGACCAGGAGGTCGGCGATCCCCACCCGGGCTGCCCGGTCTTCGAGGGTTTCCATCAACACCCGCCCCGCCCCCCCGCCCCCAGTGTGAGCGCCCACTGAGCGGAGAACAAAGGACGAGGAGGGAGCGGGAGGAGCGCGTGCGGGCTCAATGCCCCCGGCCCGCCGCGCCCCGGAGCCGGGGGAGGAGCGGGAGGGCGGACTCCGGGCCTGGAGCGGAGCCGCGGGCGAAGTGCGCGGCCCAGCGTCCGAGGCCGGCCGGAAGGAGCCT